TGTCGGCTTGGGTTTGGTGTCCTTTTGTTTGACCTGGGTTTTTTTCTCTGAGATACTTTAAATTCTTATGTTCGTTTCCTTCCTCTCTTTGACCGTTTAGTTTTTGGGATCCTATTTAGATTGTTTTCTCTTAGTCTCCTCATAACATTCGGAGGTATAAAGACATGGTTCATTGGTCGAAATAACAACAGAGTGTCTGGGGAGTATGTTGTTCTATTTTCCCTTTCAGTGAATATCTCTACATTGTCTGCGTTAAAAACCACAGGGTGGGCGACCATTTCGGAAAAGTGTTCATCCTCTTGTTTTGTAACTAATGTCACACTTCTGGAAGAGATATGTGCTGTTGCCATCTAGGGAATACCGTAACTAAACAGTAGTCTTTAGAATTAAAACAATGATACCCATCCAAACCCATGATTGGGGACAATGAAGATTAGGGGAAGCTCGTTGAAAAAAATAATAGTGAATCGTAGATCGAGCCTCTGCCTCTGATTTAGTAGATACAATGAGGTTCACTGTAGAGCATAAATAAAAACTTGACGTCATGATTATTTGCCAACCGGAAGTCTATTGTTGTTGTTGCTTTTTCATTACTTCAAGGAGAAAGTTATCACATTAATCATCGAAACTTAATGCACATGATGGTATAACTTTTTAAAAATAACCAGGAATTAAAACAGTCAGGAACACCACAAATTAAGAGGAGCACAGAAGGCTGCCTGTTGGCGCGATCATCACTTCTCTTGTTTTGTAACTAATGTCACACTTCGGGCCGAGATATGTGCTGTTGCCATCTAGTGAATACCGTGACTAAACAGCAGTCTTTAGAATTAAGACAATGATACCCATCCAAACCGATGATTGGTGACCATGAAGATTAGGGGAAGCTCGTAGAAACAATCATGAATCGTAGATCGAGCCTCTGCCTCAGATTAAGTAGAAACAATGAGGTTCACTGTAGAGCATAAGTAAAAACCTGACGCCATGATTATTTGCCAACCGGAATTATGTGTTGTTGTTGTTGTTGTTGTTGTTGTTGTTGTTGTTCTTGCTGTTATTAACCCTATCCGTACGCCCTGGGGTCATGTTGTACCCCCGGGGTTGTATTCTTCACATTTTAGAATACTTCTAGAGCGTTGAAACTTTCAGCATTTCTGAAAAAATAATTTTGACAGACTGCTATGCAAAGCGTACGGATCAGAGGAGCTAGTAAATTTCCTCTTTGGAAAGTGGTTGTACAGAGTTTCCCTCGTCTTATGGATACGATAGTAAAACACGACGTTCGGATAGGGTTTTTAATGGTCTCAAAACGTGCTCTATTTGTTCCTTACGCCACGGGTATGTCTGGTGACAATTTCACACTGTACAGCGCACAGCCCCCCCCCCCCCCACCCCCCAATCCCAGATTAGGTGATAATATTAATTTTCATTATTATTATGATTATTATTGTTGTTATTATTATTATTAATATCATTATCATTATCGTATCATTATTATCATTATTTTTTTATTACTATTACTGTTATAATAATATTATCATTATTATTAATTGTAGCAGTATTAGTATTATTAGTATTATTATGATTATTATGATTATTATTAGCAATTCAGTAAGTGACTTCCTGGCATGTGGTACCCCACCCCATTCCAACTCCACGATCCCTTTATCGTTTTTCATTTCAGTTTCGCTGCAGACAAGACATGTTTGGATTTCGGAATAATGTGTATCCCCAAGCTATTTATTAAGAGCTCCCTTTAATGTTTGATGGCATTTCTCCCTTCCTCTTTGATCCTTTTCATTCATACAGTCTTTTCTATCTTAGAGTTAAAAATGTGTCCTATCGTTACCTCTTTTCAGAATTTATTTTTTCTCATTCCCCGTTTCCCAACTCTCATCTATTTCTCTCTCTCTCTCTCTCTCTCTCTCTCTCTCTCTCTCTCTCGCTCTCTCTCTCTCGCTCTCTCTCTCTCGCTCTCTCTCTCACTCTCTATCTCTCCCTCTCCCTCTTCCTCTCTCTCTCACACGCACGCACGCACACACACACACACACACACACACACACACACACACACACACACACACACACACACACATACATACACTAACTCACTCTCTCCCACTGTCTGCCTTTCTTTCACCCTATGTCTGTTATTCTGTCCTTTTATTCCCGCCTCTCTCTCTCTCTCTCTTACTCTCTCTCTCTCTCTCTCTCTCTCTCTCTCTCTCTCTCTCTCTCTCTTTCTATCTTTATCTTTATTTACTTTTCCATCTATCTCTTCATCTATCACTCTTTGTATCTATCAATCTCTTTCTCTTTCTTTCTTGCCAAAACCTCTGCTCTATGTTATTGGGTTTTATTTTCCATCCAGCGCCATTTGATATCTTGTTGCTACAAAATTATCTTCCTGCATCAAATAAAAAATACGGCATCTTCATCATACATATAAATAGCTCTCTTGCTCTTCTAAGCCCCCAAGTTGGTTTCAGATATTAACTGTTACGTCACAATCATTCTTGTGGGAGAAAAAAGAGAACCCAAAAAGAGGTGAGTGTTGGTGAAAGAAAGGGGTGGGGGAGGGAGGGGGGGAGAGAAGAGATGCGACATGTAAAATTTATGTTGTGAGGAATCAGGCTCTCGTCAATTTTTGGGCATGTTGAATTATTAGTATCACCTTAAAGCTTGTGCACTTGTCTTTATTTGGACGAAAAAAATATCCATTTATCTTGAATACAAGTCGAGATATATGCGAATGAAAGAGGTGGGGGTCACCTGTTTTCAGAGGTAAAATTAGTGAGAAAATGGCCGCCAAAGATTAGTTATTTCTTTAGCTTATGAGTCCGTGGTAACTGAAAAGCTACATTTTTGTGCCTTTAATCAACGTTTTTCAGAAAAATCCTCACAGAAATGTGTTCTTTCATGGGCATGAAAGGTGTTGAGCCAGAAATCAAAAATTTGATACAAGTTCACAAACCTGCGGAAAAATGCAGGTTTCTTCACTTTGATTATTTTGACGAGAGCCTGATTTCACTACGCTGCCTCACGTATGTCTTTAATGAACCGCTTCTGTTGTAAGTGTGCATAGAACATGTGAACGAACATCACCTACCACCAGAAGCATTTTGCTTTAGTAAGAGTTTTACGGCACTTGTAACACAATAAGATCATTTAAGTGCCGAACATTAGAGGTGTTACCAGAGAGTAGCAAGCACAACAAAGAAGGAGGAGAGATCAGGACGATAGATGTTTGATAAAAAAGAAGGAGCAAACCTCACCAGAGCACCTGGTAACTACCCTCTCCAGAAGTATTTCCCCTGATCATTATATTATAGCTCGTTCTCGCTATATCGTATTTCATCTAAAGGTCTCAGGGAATACCGTATTGTTGTCTAAGTAAAATAAAATGGGTGCTTTCAGCTGTGCGCCTTCGGTTTTATGATTGGTCTAGTTGCGTGCCTTTTACGACGTATGACAGTGAACTCTGGTATATTTCTGGCGCACTATATAGTGAAACATTTTATTAAATTTTAGCCGAAAGAAGGACAGGGACGAGGTGGGTGGGGGGGGGTGTGAAGCACTGGTCTATAGCGAGACCAGTTTTTTTTTGTCTTTCATTTGGGAGTGACGGTGCAGCTCTAGTGCGGTGCGCAAGTCTTTATAGGTTAGGCAGCATGATGAAATCAGGCGCTATATATGTAATCAAGGAATTCTGCATTTTCTGGCCGTTGGGCAATTTTTTCGAATTTACTTTCTTTGTCTCAATACCTTATATGCCCATTTAGAAAACATTTCCGGTTGGATTTCACTGGAAAAAGCACAAAAAATGTAAATTTGCAATTTCCAAGGACACTCAAGCTTTGGAAGTCACCAAACTTTGGCTGCCATTTTCTCGCTGATTTTATCCCTGACACCAGACTACCCTTTCTCCTTCAATTGCAAATATCTTGACTTCTATTCAAGGTTTTTGCATTGTTTTCGTCAAACTAACAAGGGGGGGGGGGGGGCTTTCGTGGCCTAGAGGTTAAGGTGTTGGCCTCTCCTTCAAAGGTCCCGGGTTCGAATCCGGGTAGCGACCGAACAATTTTCTTCTCTAAACTTGTCTCCTTTCACCTCTTTTTCTTCTCACTAGCAATGTTCTGTTGTTTCCTTTCGTCTCCTCGTTCTGTCCCCATCCCTTCACCTCCTTTTCTCCCTCCTCTGGGCTCCTGGCTCCTGACTCTTTCTGCAGCCTTTCTACTGCTACTCCTTGGCCTCTTCTTACTGCTGTCTTTCAACCACACCCCTGATCTTCTAGTATGAAAGATCTACGCCCAGCCTTCTCGGACAAGGGCGAAAATTCTCGGAGAGCCCGAGTGCAAGGTGCGCACGTTAAAGATCCCGCGGTGGTCTAAAATGATAAAAGTAGATCAGCCTCCATCCGGGCAAAATTCAAAATTTCCTACCAACTGAAAAAGTTAAATGTGTTCCTCGCGCTCATATTATGACCTTATGCAGTTGCCAACGCCGTAAAACACTTACAAAAACAAAAACAAAAAAAACTAACTAGCTCTAAGATGATACTGATTGTCACGGTAGTCACCGTATTGTACCTTACTCTTTTTTACTCACGGGACGTAAGCGCCCTGTATGCCATGGGCTCTTGGTTAATGTTACTCACTTCGGGGATCTATAAAAAGTCAGACACTACACCCGGTCTCAAGATATATATTAGAATGCTTGCTGTCGTGTGTGTAGACTAACATTACATGGTGTCAGAAGTCAGTGGATAACGTGTCACAAGTGTCAGAATGCCTCATTTCAAGCCTCCTGAGCCGTTTGATTTTTCGAAACCTCACGAGTGGCCCGAGTGGCGACAGCGTATGCTACGATACCGCACAGCCACCAAACTGAGCGCAGAGACCGGAGCAATTCAAGTAAGTTCATTAATTTACGCTATGGGACGCCAAGCTGAACAGATATTTAACCCGTTCACGTTCCCTGCTCCCGTCGAAGGTAACGATCCTAGGGACAACTTTGACACTGTCTTAGAGAATTTCGACGCTCACTTTGTCCCCAAGCGGAATCTTATCCACGAAAGAGCAAAGTTCCATGCACGAGCACAAAACAGTGGGGAGACGATAGAAGAATATGTTAGAGCCCTGTACGAACTTTCCGAATATGCAGACTTTAAGGACCGAGATGAAACCATAAGGGATAGACTCGTGCTAGGAGTACTGGACAATGAACTGTCACAGCGCTTACAACTCGAGGCAACTCTTACTTTGAAATCAGCCATCGAAACAGCACGCCATTTCGAGCTCGTAAAGGGTCAGGTCAGTAGCCAACGTCAGCTAGGTGCAGCAGTCACAGTAGATTCAGTACGAAACGGCCAGAGGGGATATTCGTCGCCTGCTCACCCCAAGGGTAGAGGCGGCCGAAGAACAAGTACACACTCACAACACAGAGGCAGCCATGCATCACAATCAACTTTCTCTAACTGCGGTAACCATGGAAGAGGTCATGCCCAAAACAATTGCCCAGCGGGTGGGAAAACTTGCAGGAAATGCGGCAAGCGCAATCACTTCGCAACAGTCTGTCGCAGCAGCAGCAGCCGCAATGTCAACGAAATCACCGAATCGGAAACTCCTTCGTTCTTTTTAGGTGCTGTTGACAGAGACTCGGACAGTAATGTCGTTACCGATGTAAACTTCGGCGAAGTTAGCGAGCCACCATGGCGCGTTACACTGAACCTTGGAGGGAGAGCTACATCCTTCAAGATAGACACAGGGGCCGATGTTTCGATAATGTCGAAGGCCGTCTACAACCGTCTCAGTCCTCGTCCAAAGCTGAAAACAACGTCTGCAGTTCTTCGCAGTCCTGGTGGGGTCATAAGGAGCGTGGGAGAATTTATCGCAACTACGCTGCATAACAATCGCAACTTTGCGTTCCGTGTTTTCGTCCTTGACGACGACACCGACTGTCTTCTCAGTCGCGACGCCGCAGTTCGTCTGGGACTGATTTCTCGAGACAGAATAGACTCTGCCAACCTCGTGTTCGGCGATGTGGGACCTAAACCTATACGCTGCGAGCCAGTGAAAATCATCTTGAAAGAAGATGCACAGCCATACTCCGTGAACGTCGCACGTCGGATTCCCATTCCACTCATGGACGAAGTCAAAGCTGAACTAGACCGTATGGAGGCCGCAGGTGTCATTGAGAAGATCAGCGCTCCAACTGACTGGTGTGCACCCATGGTCCCGGTCAGAAAAAAGGTCTGGTAGTGTTAGAATCTGCACAGATCTGAAAAAGCTCAACCTATCGGTGAAGCGTGAACGATTCATGCTGCCCACCATAGACGACATATTGTACAAACTCAGCGGATCAAACAAGTTCAGCAAGCTTGATGCAACTTCATCCTTTTGGCAGTTGGCACTGGACGACGACTCCGCGAAGCTGACCACTTTCATTACCCCGTTCGGTCGGTACTTCTACAGACGTCTCTGTTTTGGAATCACCTCTGCGCCTGAGATATTTCAGCGTACGATGCAAGACATTCTAGCGGGCATAGACGGTGTAGAGTGCTTTATGGACGACATCCTCCTGCACACGGATGGTCAGGAGAAACATGATAAGCTGAAGAAGAAAGTCTTCCAGCGGCTAAAGGAGCGTGGGGTCAAGTTGAACAAATCCAAGTGCAAGTTTGACAAGGATGAAATCGATTTTCTTGGCCACATCATCAGCGGGAAGGGTGTAAGGCCAGATCCATCCAAGGTCAACGCCATCACTGAGATGCCCGAGCCAGAGAACATTACAGACTTACGACGAGTGCTCGGCATGGTGAACTATTTGGGCAGGTTTGTGCCAAATCTGTCAACAGTCATGAAGTCGCTCACCGATCTTCTGAATCACGATGCTGAGTGGGCCTGGACTCCAGCGCAGTCATCTGCCTTCACTGATGTCAAGAAGTTACTGTCGTCAGCTCCAACACTCGCCTTCTTTGATATGAGGAAGCCTGTCACTGTAAGCGCCGATGCAAGCAGCTACGGACTGGGAGGAGTTCTCCTCCAGGAAGACCGGGGTGATCTTCAGCCAGTGGCCTACTGTTCCAGAACTTTATCTAGGGCGGAGAAGAACTACGCTCAGATTGAAAAGGAACTGTTGGCGGCCACCTGGGCGTGCGAAAAGTTCGTGACACTGATAACTCCATAAAAATTATTATGTCCCAAAATTGACAAGCGTGTGATTCCACCGCGTCGTCACACAATTGGCACAAAGAGAGGATAGCCATGACAGTGAACGGTCTAGGAGTAAACGTAGGCTAGGTGTGTACCTTTTTCTATAGTCATATTGTCTATTTCATGGGTCTCTTTGACTACATCGATCTCTTGCAATCATTCAGTTGCAAGTTGTTGGCCTTTGAAGCTGACTGGTGTTCCCCCGAATCATTCCACATTATAATTAACTACAACTGCAAGAACTTACTAACTTTTAAACAAGGCTCCGATGCTTAAAGTATGTGTACTTTTGGACGGAGTCCGTCTCTGGCACAAATGGGCCATCTTAATTAATCTTTAAAAAACTGGACGATTAGAAATGTCTAAAACATGGGCATAAAATTTGAGCTGATACGGTAATTGATAATTTAATTAAACAGATTTTTTCAGCGTCTAGTGTATAAAATGTTTTCTCTGAGATGGCGCAACATCGATTTATTGGTCTCATTACGTGTAATTACAAGTCTGGATAGATCCAAATCTGACAATATTACATTTTTTGGCGCACGCACTATCACTATAATATTGTAATTGTTATCATGGATGCTCGCTGTTATAATTAATATCTAAAAGCTTTTTTATGATAACATAGTTTTATGTCTGTACTTAATGGCTTCATTGAGACGTGTCTTGTTTTGATGGATATCCCTATCGTGAATAAAAACAATAAAATCAAGATTCTTTTAAAACATCGTATTATGGATATAAAGAAAACACAAGAAAGTGTTATCAACAACGTCGGCGGTAACGACTATGGTTTTGGGTACAGATCACCGAAGGAACTTTAATAAAGGGTAATCGAAAAGAGGGTTGGGGCATCATAATAATAATATTGTATTTACTTCGATAATGCAGTTCAGTTGTTGGAATAAAAGGGGAAGGTTGCTTTTTTACCCTTTAATTCAAACAAGTTTGGCCAATAAAGGAGGACGTAAAGTTTTTTTTTTTTAAACAACAATAACAACAACAAACAAACAAATTAACAAACAAACAAACAAATTAACAAACAAACAAACAAACAAAAGACTTTGGTTAGCCAGAAACGAGTAAAGTACTTTTGAAAGTTTTTCTGTAAAAAAACAAACAACCTAGAGCAAAAAAACCCCAAAAGAACAATCTAGACTAGATTGTTTTGCGGCATATCCTCGCCCGTAGGTAATTTGGATTAATATTTGATTTGTAGACACTGTCTTGGGTGGAATTAGGTAACGGTAACCATTTGTACTTTTCGTTTCTCGTTTTCGCTGTCTACCCCTCTTTACTTTTTCTATTTCCTCTCTCTTTCTCCCCCCCCCCCACTCTCTCTCTCTCTCTCTCTCTCCCTCTCTCTCTCTCTCTCTCTCTCTCTCTCTCTCTCTCTCTCCCTCTCTCTCTCTCTCTCTCTCTCCCTCTCTCTCTCACACACACACACATACATACATACATACACACACACACACACACACACACACACACACACATAAATATATACATACCCCCCCGCTCTCGCTCTCTCTTTCTCTTTCTCTCTCTCTCTCTCTCTCTCTCTCTCTCTCTCTCTCTCTCTCTCTCTCTCTCTCTCTCTCTCTCTCTCTCTCTTATGATTACAACAATGCAGACCCGACCAGAGGCAAATTCGTTAAGTGTTTCATACAATATGCAAGACTTGTTCGCGCGTGCACAATTTCCCCGTGTTCATAAAACCAATTTACTCTTCCGACTTGCATCATGAGCGAACTCTGCGCCCCAACGTGGCGACCTTTGATTAACACTTGTTCAACCTCTCCTCAGGGGTAGCAGGTAGAGCTGGGCAATGATTCGCTTCAGCAAAATCCGGATAATATTTTAGTGCACCTCTTAGGGTAATAATATGATATGAACCGCTTCGGCAAATGGGTTAGAAACACTTTGACAAACGGGTTATCATCACTTCAACAAATGGGTGCACCCACTTCGGCAAACGGGTCAGGAAAGAGAGTTAAGAGTATGAAATCGGATAATGTTTCATTGAGAATTATCCGGTTATCCTTTTGGATTATCCGGATTTTGCCCACCTCCAGTAGTAGGTTCCGTCTGCAGGTTCTACACCACTAATAGTTTTGCTTTAGCATACTCGTCCTGTTCAACGTGTTCCTACATCAAAGAAAGAGAGAGAGAGAGAGAGAGAGAGAGAGAGAGAGAGAGAGAGAGAGAGAGAGAGAGAGAGAGAGAGAGAGAGAGAGAGAGGGGGGGGCGGGAGAAAGAGAGAGGAAGAGATAAAAAGAAAGAAACAAACAAAGAAAGACACTGAGACACAGAGAGAGTGAGAGATAAACAGAGAAGAAGCTTAGAGATACACACACAAAGAGAAAGAGAGAGAGAAAGAGAGCGAGAAAGAGAGAGCGAGAGAGAGAGCTAGAGAGAGAGAGAGGGGGGGGGAGAGAAAGGAGATAACGACAGGGGGATGAGTAAATATCGGAAGTACACAGATGGAGAAATACAAATATGGAGTGAACATCTCGCCTTTTTTTCTATAGTAGAAACCTTTACACAGAATGGGTGAAGAACCCTTTAAGAAATACCCTCTCCAAAACAATTCGAGTTCAGATTCAGAAGACACTGATGGGAATACGAACTAGGGCCATCCGATCTGTAGCCCAGTGTGATGACTACGGGACTAACTCATCGTTCACGCCCCAGCATCATACGGGGAATACATAATTAAGATATGGCAAAAGTACCTAAATTTAGATGTTCAGATACCTGGTAAAAAGAAGGAGCTCACTTGTAAAACAGTCTTCTTACATTTTTAAAAAGCCCAAAGCAAGGTACGCAGAATATCACCATCATCATCATTGAACGATTGAAGATTTTTTTTAAAGCAACAAATTGGTGGAGACTGTAGAATTTCAAAATTTAGAACACTAAAAAAGTTCAACGTTTAATAATAATAGTAACAATAATAGTAATTATAGTAATAACAGTAATAATAGTAGTAATAAAAAATAATCATAATAATAATAATAGTAAAATAATAATAATAACAATAATAATGATAATAATAATAGGATAATGATAAAGATAATAATGACAATAGCAATGATAATAATGATAACAATATGATAAATTACAGATAAAAATTATTATTATCATTATCATTATTATTATTATTCTTGCTATTAAATCAATAATAATAAATAGAATTGCTTAGCGCTTATCCCAGATCGATTACAAGATGTATGCCCTTTACAATCTATATCACACCATTCAGACGTGTAGTTTCCTTGTTGAGTAAGACAAAGAAACTACCAAGAGCGGAAATACAAGTAAGCTTTCCAAAGAGTTGCCGACGAATTAGACACCTGTGGAGCAGGAAGGAATTTGTCGTTCGGTTAATGAATCAACCTTAACTACAGTCTTTCGCACTAATCGATATTGTGTAGACCATCCAAGAGGCGGGATAATTTGAACATACTTACTTTTCAAGGCCAGCCCTAAATGTGTAAGATACCGCAGATAGCGGAAATATTTGGTTTTAAAAACATAGTAATTATTCCAAAGCCAAAATCGAACGCTTGACCTTCGCATGCAAGACAAAGAGACTAACTGTAACACCACATACGACCGCTCGCCTCTACTCCCTTATTTTTTCGTTGCATGCCCCCCCCCCCCCCCAAAAGGATCAGGTTCCCCGAAGGCCGCTTGTCCAGATAGGCTATGAAGAATAGGCTGAGGTGGGGGGGGGGGGGGGGAAGGAAGTGGGGAGGATAACAGAATGGCTTGACGAGACGCCCAGGTTAAGGACAGCAAAAAATAGAAATAGAGGGAAAACGATTGTTTAAAAGGAGGTGAGGGGGGTAACCCTATAGCTTGACGAGATGCTTCGGTTATGAACAGCGAGTAATAAGCAAACAAATTGCGTGATGCGCGAGTGTAGCTTTTCGGCGATGACGTTAGTTTAGGGGGTGCCCCACGACTCTCGTAAAGCTGATTTTCCTGAAGCCTGGAAAATCCTCCAGATGCTGTCTTCATTTAGATTATAATATTAC